AACTGCAAGAACTTGGAGCTTAAGAATGGATTAAAACGAAGAGAAAAATGGAGAAAATACCTTGAAGTGAGAGCTAGGGTTGCAGATTACGGAGACGAAGCAACTCCGTCAACGCTCATCAGTTCTTCAGATAATGGCGATGGCAATAGCAATGAGCAGTGATGTGAATCGTGATTTGTTCGAAACGGAAAAATGAAGAAACGGAAGCAGAACCAGCAAATCTGAAGAAAGGGCTTCAAGCTTGGAATTTGGGAGATCGAAAAGATTGGATTGTAAGAATTACGATCGGAAGTGAGATTCTAGGCTGGGCTAACATGATCATGGCCCAAAAACAACCCATTTATTTCCTTTTTTCCCCTTTTTCATAGGAATTTGCAAAAAGTAGCCACCAATTTTCGATTTCAATACATCCCTGGTCAGTTTATCGCTCTACATAAGAAACTTCCTTAAATTGCAACAATATTTTTCTATGCTAGAAATTAAATTGTGGCAAATTTTAGACTATAAAAACTAAATTGTTTAATGAACTACATTATTTAACATATGAGAATTTAGAGAATAATTGGTTAATAAAAATATTTTTTAGCATAAATTTTTTTATAATTCTACAAGTAATTTTTATATTTTATTTTCAATTAAACAATTATTTTATATTTTGTAAGGAAAATATACTTTTACAAGGACAGATCTACAGTATGCTCAAAGGCTCGAGTCCCCTGAACTTTGAATTGTATATAATTAATACATAAAAGTATAGAACTTACCCTTGGGATAGTGGCGAGCGCACACCTTAGCCCTTAACGTGCACACAATGACTCAAATTGCTTCATGATTTTGAGATTGGCAATGCCCTGTTTGTAAATATGCTCGGTAAATTTGGTCTCGAACATTACCATTGTAATCAACAATTCTAATTTTATATCCAGATCATGATGGTATTATTTTAAATTTAGTTATGCAAAATATCTTCTATTATCATAAGATATGACTTCACCAATTTTTTTTTATAGCACCTCTCCATTTATATTTCAAATTAAATCTTATAAAAAGCTAGAATATAAAATATAAAATAAGAATGATAATAATTATATGTATAAAATCAATTGAAACATGATAATTTTATATTATAGTCCAAGTTTTTTTCGATTATTATATTTAAAATAACCTTAAATAGTCAAATTCAAGATATATATATAATGTAAAGTTCACAAAAATGTACCTTAAACAATTAATCTCCAGATTGTCAACTTCTTTAGACCAATTGAATCTCGAAAATGATGATTTCTTTCTCGAAGTCAATTTTATGTTTATCAAACATTCCTATCACTCGCCTCATATATCATAGAGAAATACCAAGTAGACAAAATACTTGATGGCCAAGTAGTGCAGAAAATTAGAAATACATACACATAACATGATCATAGTATCATAAATTATGAGGGACAATGAGAATTTGTCAACATGATAGATACAGACTTAATTTCAGTTGAATAATTAATTCACCTTGGAATGTGATTATTAGTGTGGTGATTATATTAGACAAATTTTACCTATAGTCTAACCTCAACCAATACACCACATTTGATGAAGAGGTTTTTGATCAAGTGAATTATAATACAATGATTAGCTACTTTTTGAAAATTATATTTGTTGACGATATACACCTGTCGAGAGACACGTTAAGCCTATATGACTTGTTAAGAAGAGAGCGTCAAGCACACCAGATCAAGGCTGAGCACACCGGATGGGGAGTGCCGAGCGCATCGTATGAAGGTACAAATATGGTTAACGAACGTAACACTCAAGACCCGCGACGCACCTGACGATGTGTCAAGTGGTTGTCTTTGAGGGTGATGCACACCACTCTGAAAAGTCGGAGGGAAAGCATAATATCGGGTCCCCACATCTCTCCTCTCTCTCCCCATATAAAAACAACACTTAGAACTCTAATCAAGGTATGCAAAATTTGAATGTTGGTGTGAAATCTCTACTTACGAATATCTTAGTGTTCCATACTCATTCGCTCTAAGTACTAACTTAGGTATTAGAGTGCATTTGGAAGAGCAATACATCGGTGTTAAATTTCTATATGCAGGTAAAGCTTGGGTTAAGAGATAAAGGCACGAGTGGCACTTACACAGTACTTGTCCAGAAACCAACATCAGCAATATTCGTTATCATACATTTATGCACGATGTCTTAATGAATAAATGCAACAATAATATGTAATGCAATGTGAAATACGTAGGAATTTAAAAATTAATCCAGACACATCATAGTATTATTAAGAATGAGCTAAGTATAACATAAACATAACCGATCTAATTCAAAAATATTGTAAGGGTCGAGTTATTTATCTTGGTAATGTACTCAAAGATATTACTTAAATCAATATATTGGGTACAGGAGTTTGAATTTTCGATAGATGTCATTTACCTCTAAGTTAAATTTTTATTGGCTTGGGTCCCTATTCTGGACCTATTTAAATTTCTGTAAATTTATAAATTTTACCTTGACATAACATAGTTACTAAATTTTTTGAGTAGGCAGAGAATATCATTATGCAATGAATTTTGACTAGAAAAAAAATTTTCTATTTCAGTTTTCAAATCATTTTATAAATAAACATTTGTTAAATTAGAAAAGGAATTTTTAATATCACCAAAAAGTAAATATCATTGCCTTGTAAAGTATCTCTCCTTATAGTAGTAGTCATTCAGCAAAAGAAAATTCACAAAAACAAGAAAGTATATTACAAGACAGTAAAGATTGAAACTTTGAGCTTATACAACCAACAATACACAGTTTTAGTTTTTGAAAAAATGGAGTGGAGAGCTGAAAAGTCATTTTCTCCTGATTCGAACCTATAATCTGTAATCCGTAAGATAAGAAAAGACACTAATGTCTGATCGAGCAACTCAAGTCGGTGTTATAAAGACAGCGAGCGAGCGATTTTGAACTTATAATAAAAGTTTAGCTCAAAAGGAGCTAAATTTACAACATAGAATTAGCAAGCTGGATAGTATCACACCACTAAATCAACCTCAGTTTCATACAATCAGATTGGGAAGTAAAAATAAAAACCCAGAATGGCTAATGATAAAAGGTGAAACAACAAGAAAACCTGATGAGTAGTAACTAGCATCTTTCCCGGAAAAGCGAACCCGAANCGAACCCGAAAAAAGAAAAAAAAAAAAAAAGAAGAAAGATGTTGATTTGTTCGTGTGACATCGTTTCTCGGAGTAACGTATTATGCAACAGTTCTGCATATATATACCTTACCCACAATCCAATTATACATATCAATCAAATTACAAGAAATAAAGAAAGAAAGAAGAAGAAAGACCTATATTTTCAAGCTCAATCCTGACCAAGAGAAAACCCTCTGGAACCTGCTTCTTTATGGGACAGTTTGTCAAAACAGAAAACAAATTAGCTCTGACAGTATCAAATGGGGAGTGTATCACAATGACGAAAATTATACGAAAATCGCAGTCCACCTGCTTTACCGAATATGCATCACCTACTATAAATTTTTTGACATCTGTTGTATCATCTTCTTCCTAGGCAGCAATTCCTGAATCAAACATTTAACCACAAAACAAGAAGATCAGCCCATTTTCCTAGTCTTAAAAGCTATGTTTCTTTAAGTGAGATTATAAAAGTAATGACATCCTTTTGAAGTTCATAAATTTTGATTATTTCATGTTTGATTAAACTAGTCAGCATCCATAGCTCGCATTGAAAAGATTAGGGACTGTTTTCGAGTGGTTTCTATGCTTTTGTTTCCCTAACAATGTGATCAAATAGGTGGGACAATTTAAAACTAACATGGGGTAGAAATCATTGTTTACAGGTCCATAAAAACAGATCACCCATAAGAAGAAACTAATGGAAAATAAGAAATGTTTTTCAGAATAGCTCTAAGTAGGCTCTCTCAACTTTGGAAGGTGCATGAGAACATCATATAGTGGTTTTAAACATATTTTAACTCCTTACAAGATTGTAAAAAATTTCAGGTAAAACTACTAAAAAATGAAAAGGGCAGGCAGCTTTTATGCAGTTTAACAATCCAAACTTGGCATAAGTTTTTGTGAGGCCTTTAGTGTTACAAGCTTGAAGATCTAAAGCTTCGAGAGATGTGTAAAGTAAGACAGTCGAAAATATGCAAAAATATACAAAGTTTTCTCGAGAGTAGAAGAACTCACCTCTATTAGATTGTCTATTAGAAACACCATATCCAACAGTATAACCAGCAGAGTTTCTACTAATAACATCTGAAGCTGCATTGCCGAGGCCAAAGCCAATTGAGGAAGAATCCTCAAGCTCTGTTGGCAATGACTGCCAACTGGAATGGCCATAGAATGAGTTTCCTTCATCATTATTCCCATGAACCTCATCATAAATATTTGGTGCAGAGTACAAAGATGCTGAGGAAACATTAGTTCCAATGCTTCTAGCATAACCTACTGTTGTGCCTGATGTAAAGCTGGCATCTCCGTTTCCGAAATCGAGATTAGCAGTATTGAATGGAGAACCAGCATTTTCCCCATGACCGAGACTTGCAGAAGCACCCCAAAGCCCTCCGATACTGTTCAAGGAATTAGTTCCTGTATGCACACCACCAGAGCCGGGAAAAGTCCTCAAGTGTGAGGAGTTTGCACCAGCAGAGTTACCGACGTTCCCCCACAGATTCTGAACCGATGAGCTTAAAATAGAACCATTCCCTCCACTGCCTCCACCATATAGCATCGGGTTTGGGCTACCATACCTATTTAAATTTACACCATACGAGGGGCTCATTACTCGTCCATAGCTGAGATTAGAGTTACCATTCGGACCTGCCCCGTAGTTTGGGCTCAACCCTGTGTCAAGATTTAGTCCTATTCCATAACCAGGACTTATTGGAGAAAGCCCACCACGACCAACTGAAATGGGACTAAATCTACCATCAGATCTCAGTCCATATCCTCCAACTGAGGCTGGATTGTATCCTTGATTATAGCCATTTAAATAGCTACCAACTCTACCAAAACCATAAGGGTAACCGCCTAATTGATTTCGGTTGGGCACTGGTGATGATTCCTTTGGAACAGCTCTCTTAACCTCAACCATTTTACCATTGAGTTCATGGAAAGTTTTGTACAACACTTTCTCCACTGATTCCTCTGACTCATAAGTGATAAATCCAAAACCTCTTGGTCTCTGAGTATTATGGTCATACATCACCACGACATCTGTGATTGTTCCAAACTGATCGAAGTACTTCTTAAAGTCACTCTCCGTGACGGTGGATGCCAAACCTCCTACAAATATCTTCTTTGTGCGAGTAGGGCCGGGTGATCCGAGGATACCAGTATTGTTTCGGCTCAAAATGTTTTGATCGTCTCGAGGAACAGCCTTCTTTGCTTCAACCTAAACAAAAAAGGATAACCAAACATGAACATGGTAACCAACACAAATGGAAGTCTAGAAGCAACGAAACATATCATTCTAATACAAGTTATGATCATCACAAAAATATCACCTAATTTTTGTGCATCCACGAACTCTCTAAGACATCAAGTCTTCTAATTTTCGCATATCCCGGTTTCACATCGAGAACTAGTAAGGAAAATTATGACAGACTTCTTTCTATTTGAAAGTCCGCATATTCCTTACAAGGCTCCTCTCATGGTAATGATTAGATTTATAAATGTTTGTACATATAGGACACAGCTCAAAAGATGTAGGTGTAACTGTAAGACAACATCATAATTGCTTGCAGACAATCAATACAACCAAAAAAAAAAAAAATTTGCCTCCAACTATGAAAATGAAGCCAACCACTCACTTCAATTAACAATTAGGGTAGCTTTAGGATCTCTCAACCTCTATCTTAAAAGATTCAAACTTCCTAATGAAGCTCAGGAGCAAATTCTTAAATGATCTTTTTCCCCCTTAAATGATGCAAACAGATTTCTCATAATTGCTTATTCTCAAACTAATTCCAGAAGTAGTCTTAAACCTTTTCTTATACAAATAAATGTTTTACCGCCAAGATGCTAATCACATTTTCTAGAACATGTATAAAGCATTTGATTCTCAAGAACGATCGATATTCCGAGCAACAGCATTGCCATTGTGCTTCAAGAAAAACATGAAACAGAATTTGTCCTAATAAAATGCGAACAACCAAATCTTCCATCTATGTTCTGAAGGAAAATTGCAAGTTTTCCAAAACAAAACAGCTTCAAAATACAAATGCTGAAGAATCCTAAAAATTTTGAATCAAGATGGACCACAGGATAATCTGGAAAATCTTGATCCCTCTATGAAGCATATTTATACACAAAATCAAATCAGAACACATCTTCAACAAGTCATGAGAGACCATCTAAAGGTTCCAATACAGGTAAAAAATCAATGAGAACCAAGAAGAACACACAAAACTTACAGTTCTTCCATCAATTACATGCTTTTCCAATACAACTCTCGCTGCAATGACAGGATCAGCAAAGACGACGAAACCGAAGCCACGGGCACGGCCGGTGGTCCGATCCCTCATGATCATCACCTCCACCACTTCTCCAAAGCTCTGAAAATACTCCCTAAGACGATCTTCATCTGTGTCCCACGAAATACCACCAATAAAAAGCTTGCCAGGATCCATGCCCACTCTACAAATCCATTCCAACCAATCCCATCAATATCATTCAACAAGAAGAACCACGTAGCCGATCAATCCACGTTGAAGAAAAAAACAGAAAGCTACACAAAACCGATATGTATTTCGATGAAACAGCTTCTCAAATGTTTTAGAAGGGGAATAGAATTGAACAAACGATTAAAAAGAAGCCTTCATTTGAGAAACATCACAATGCGAGCTAAATTAGACAGATGTATCAATAACCAATTCATCATAATACAAAATGCTCTTATCGTTAGATACAAAAATGATTGCTATCAGATTCGATCTCAGAGAATCGGACCATTCACCGATCAGAAAAAATCGATCGATCTACAACCCAGGAATCCTCAAAAGCCAGAGGCAAAAAGGAAACGACCCAAAACAAAAAAAAAAAAAAGAGGCTAAAATTGCCAACAAATGAAGTTTTGATTCAAGACCCAGAAAACTATTCGAGTAAAAGATTAATAAAACAAATGATTTGCAGAACAAAAATAAAAGAAAGAGGAAAAAAAAACTTACCAAATGAAAACGACCCACTTGGGAACTCTAGAATCTAAGATCTAAGAGAAGGCATAATAAGAAGAGAGGGCGAGAGGCCCTCCTTTTTTCCTATCTCTTTCCTTGTTCCAGTTACTGTTTTCGTTTTTGTTCCAGATAAATATGTAATACAAAAAACGAAAGAAAGCCTATATATGAAACAGAGAAGAGGCAGATATTTGTGTAAGAAAAAGGAATGTGCATCTGGAATGGGCGCAATATTTGCACAAAATATATATAAATATATATATATAATAATATATGTATAGGTTGAGAGAGAAAGAAAAGAAAAGAAAGACTTGGCTGTCTTCCGCGCAAGAAAGTTACGAAGAGAGACGATGGAATCATGGAAGATGGGTAAATCGCTAGCTAGGCCAAAGTTTTTTAACTTCCAATTTGTAAAAAGTTGCCATTTTTGTCCAATTTTTTCTTTTGGGTCAGTGAAATCTTCTCTCTTTTTCTTTTTTTCTTTTTCTGGGTATTTAAGATTGTTACTATTTTATAAGAAAAAGGACAAATTTTTACACAAAATTCACAACCCCATTAAGCTTAATTGAAGAGGCAAAGACAAGAACAACTTCCCACATTTTGTAAGAGAAAAAAAAATGTTCCACAATTGTAAGTGTCTGAGTCAATTTTTCTTTTTTATTATTATTCAAAATGGATGTGAGAAAGATTCAGAGATGTCTGCAACAATTATTGATTTTCTCCATGGAACTAGTCAATGAGAATTACCACAAAATGCAAAGGTAAAAAAAAAAATCTAACTTTTACCGTCACTATTTAACTCCCAATTCTACTGATTTGAGTAATGAAATTGATCTCTTGTTCCCTTTTCCACAGTAATTTTTTCCAAAAAAGGAAAAAAATTTCACCACCCACTTCCAAATTACTTCCTGTGGAGGCAAGGAATGAGCCAATTTTAAGCTAAACTAACTTGTTTACATCATTCTTGAATTATTTTAAATAAAAAAAAAAACTTTTAAAAAATAGGAAAAAATAGGTGAATTTCATTGATAATGGCTCCTAAAATACAGAGTGGTAAATAGAATGATTAATTAATGAAATAAATAAATGAATGGATGACTTTTGAGTATAAAAATAGAGAAAGGAAAAAGAAAAGGTGGGGCAGATGTGTGAAAGACAGAAGGGATTGCTTGTGGTTCCACACATTCTAGGGAATTTCACAATACACATGTATCTCCCTATTCACTTTATTATAAAAACTTGTATTAATTCTAATTTTACACTCATAATCCTCCATTTTTCATCATTTTCTTGGAAACCAAACAACAACAAAATTCATTTTTTATGACCTAGTTAATGGGAGTTTTGTCTAATGCTCAACTCAAATTTGCATGAAATTAAGATAAGTTTGGGTTAAAATACGTATTTTCGCTCAAAATTGTGACTTCGAATTTCCACACCCACATGTTGTATTTAAAAAAACATGGATTTCAATTGTATTTTGGTTTTTGAATATATTGGTGGATATTTAAATTTTGAATATATATATTTTAATCAGTTGAATGTTAACTTGGACAAAAAGAAACAGAGTGACTCGACAAATCTTTTCTACCAATAACCTAATAACCTCAGACCAATCAATCGAATATTGATTAATACGTAATCGATCGACCAGGCTGGCCCGAACTTTTATATTCATCTTGTTTTACTTCTTAAACTTTTTTTTAGTACAACATCTGGGGTGGGTGATTAAACTTACAACCTCTTAGTTTGAGATATATGTCAGTTACCGTTGAGTTTGCTTTGACTGCTTCTTAAACTTTTAAAGATTGCATTTTTATCACCTCTTTGAATTCTTATTGTTAGAATCCATATAAAATGAATTAAATTTACCCAACTCATGAGCTTAAACTTTTGAATTGAGTGGTAGTTTGTTCAGATGGTATCAGAGCGGGAGAGGTATCGAAAATGTAAAAATCGATGTGACGATCGCATCAGCTTTCTCATGATGTCACATTCAATTTTTGTTATCGATAGAAAAAAAATTAAAAGTATAAGAACTAAATCGTTAACCACAATAAATTATTAGTCGAGCAGATGATTATTTACCCTAACATAATAATTATTTAATAGTGTGTTATAAAGGAGGGTGGATCACCAACTTGCCATGGTCCAAATGAATCCAAAAGAATAGCAACCAACCACACACAACAATCTTCAATATTACAGAAAGAACTTGAGAGAGTGGAATTTAATAAATAAACAAAACCTACTAATCCCAACCATTCTTTCTTTTTCCTTTTTCTTAAATCTCTTTTTTTTCCCTATTATATTCTACAAGTTCAAATTAAAAATAAAAGAAAAAAAGTGTTCTATCATATTGGAGTACTGTTTTTACTTTTTCTTAAAGTTGACTCTTGATGCTACTGGTGACTGGTCCTTCATCACTTACCAGTGGTAAAAAAAAAAAAAGTGAAAATGAAACTTGAACTGTATGATATTTCTATGGTAGGGATAGGGATAGGGAAACGGAAATTTTCAATTTTATGTTTTATGTATGGATTGATTTATTTATTTTTCTAGGATTACGAGTGGTTTGTTGTCAAATTGAACATAGTTTAGCGGTAATTGACATAATTTTCATGAAAATGAAAACTAACTCTAGAAAATTGAGGCTAAATTACAAAAAAAATATTTATAAATCTTTTGGTTCAAAAAATGCTTCAACCATTTTAAAACTTTCAATACTATCTTTGACATTTCTTTCCAAAAAGACTAGCTCTTCGACTAAATATCTACTAATATTTCGAATGAAAATTTGATAGGATAGAATCTAGAACGGTGTGACGGTAATGTGGAGGACTTGTAGGATTGTCTACCCAATATGTAGTAAAATTCTTCCTCCGCTGTCAATAGAGTTTACTTCTCCATTGTCTACCCAATTTTACCTTAATCCCTCTTTTAAAAACAATAACTTGTTATGCATTTCCTTTTCTTTCATACTAAATCCAAGCAAATTATTCCCATATTAAATTGCTATGTCATTATACAAAATATTAACCCATGTTTGCTCAAAAGATATTTTTGAAACGTTTATGAGAGGTCAACGATAATGTTGAAACTTTTGAACTACTAGAGTTATAATTTTGAAACAAGGGACAAAGTTGAAGGGGTAACTTTCGTAATTTAGCTGGAAATTTATATGGTATGGTTAGAATAACTTTTAACACAAAAGTCCTTTTTTCCTAGTGCCAATTGGTTTTGGATTTTGATTATTGAATAATGGAATTGCTTTATAGTGGGTGTGGGCATGTTAAATTTTCTATAAATATATAAAAGAAGAGTAGATGATAATTAGGGTTTCATCACATGCAACCCAATAATGTAGGAAGAAATCCTAAATTAAAAAAAAAAAAGAAGAAGAAAAAAAAGGACTATATGCCCCTTCATGCTTATCATTGGAGGGGTTTTTTTTCTATAATTATTTTTTTAAAAAGTTGAAATGCTAATAACATGTATTTCAAAAAATTTAATAAAATAAAAATGTATATATCAACTAAATATTAGTAATATGGACCTAATATTAATATTAATAATTTTTAATATATTTAAAATTAGTGAAATGTTTTTTTTTATTAATTTAAGTATTTATAATATTTTTTTAACATTACTTTTCGATATCAACATTGATATTTAAAACTTTAGCTGGACACAAATTATGGAATTTGGAGTGATTTTTTCAAGGTTAAAAGTTTACTTTTTTTTTTTAATTTCAGCTTTTATTTTAGTTTATGCTTTTGAAAGTTTTTATTACCATATTCATATTTTGAAGTTAGTGAGGTAAAATAAAAATAGAAGTTATTTCTTATTTCACTTTAAATTATTTATACAATTCAATGTGATGGGTTGAATTAACTTATTTTAATGTGTTATTTCAATTAAAATAATACTTTGAACTCGGATTCAATCTTATAATTTTCATCTTACCATTTACATCTCATAAAAACAAAATTTTACATCTTGTTACATTAAATTTTTGTTATCTCTTTGTAGTAGTTAAAGACATTTGTAGGTTAACATTGCTAAAACATAATTGATTTAATAATTAAAATATTTAGATGAGTTTTCATAAAATATTTATGAATTTGAATATTTCAATAGACTTTCTCATGATATTAAAATTAAGAACTATGTATCATTGTTATTGTTTATAATATTTTGGTCAAAACTTTTCTTTATAATGATTTAATTTTTTTAGTGAACAAGGGATAAGATTTGATTGTCCATCCAAACAGCTCAACGAGTTAAGATATTTATGTCCGATCAAATGGTCATGAGTTCTAATTTCTACCTCATGTGTCGTACCAAAAAAATGATTTGACTTGACCAACTAAAAAAAATTAAACTACATCTCTATGAAATTAATAATAATAATAATAAACTGATAAAGTTGACATTTATAACATAAACATATTTGGTTAAATTAAAATTTAGTCACTGTAGTTTTAGATTTGTGTATAATTCGCAAGGTTTAATTTCATGTTTAATAGATTTTGTACTTTAAAAAATATATAATAAATTTTTAATTTTGTGGTTAATAATAATAAATCTATAAACTTTCAATGCTATGCCTAATAATTAAACATCTATTTAATTATTTTTAGATCTATTAGACATAAAATTGAAATTTGATATCATTATAATTTTATGTTTAATAGATTCGCCAATTAAAAAAAAAATCCAATAGGTTTACGCTTCACATACAATTATAAAGTTCTGTAAGTTTTATATATATATATATATATATATATATATATATATATTTTAATTCAACAACCAATGAAGTGGAAATTTGAACCTCCCATTTTGATCCAACAAACTTATTTCACACAAAATGGATACGAAACTATTTAATTTATGAAAACTCCAATTTCTTTAGAGCCAGAGATAGCCATAAAAAGGACTTCGTTTCTGCCTCTAAGTTAAAGGAATGTTCCCCAAACCTCCTAGCTTCGAAAATTCAGCTGAAGCCGTTGAATCTCTTCCGATGATCAATAAAACACCGTACCTATAATAGAGTAAGTAATTCATCCACATTAGGTTTGGAGTAGCAAATTTTAAATCAATTAAACACAAACTAGAAGTTTGTGAAGTGAAATGAGTAATTTAACCAACAGAGTTTGGGGAAAGACAAAGCCGAAGTCGCCCCTTCTCTCTGTACCATCGTCATCTCCACTTTCCCTCCAAATCAAAAACCCTCGCAACAATTTACAGAGATTCCTCAACCCTTCTGCAAAACCCCATTAAAACCCTCATCAAAAAAGCTCAAAGCTCAAAGCTCACCATGTCAATGTCAACTATTTCCAGGATGAAACCCTTCGTATCTTCTTCCTCCTCTTTCTCAACCCTTTTCCCCGGTATCCCCATTACCACTCCTCCGCCCTTCTTTTCTCTGCTTTCTAAACCCACCCATTGCAGGCCTATTTTCTCCCAACCCGTCAATTTTTTCACTTTCAAAACACCCACAATTTCGCTGCCCATAAACGGGGTTTTCTCAACCCAGAATCGGACCGGGCCAATCGGAGCTTCTTCGTCACCCCCCTCCGGCGAGGTCCACGTAATAGTCGGGCCCATGTTCGCCGGGAAAACCACCACTCTTCTTCGCCGGATTCAGTCCGAGAGCAGTGATGGCAGGTACTTCATACTTTGCCCTTTTTGTTTCTTTGGTGTTTATGGCTTCAAACTGATAGTTTAAGCATATAGGTTATGAAATGGTACATTTGATTGTTTAATTTGAAAAGTAGACGTGTGCATATTGGTGATAAATGAGGTTTTGAGCTGCTATGATTTGGGCTTTGGCTATTTAATTCCTAGCCTCTAAATGCTATATGAGTTAAACGAGTGAATTGGCAAGCTGTAGTAGCAGAATTCTTTGGAGAAAATGCTCTAGGAAGGTGCACAAAAATGATGCATTAGAGATCTTTTTTGGCCTTTACTCCTTGTTATGTAGAGGAAGGAAGTAGACACATGAATTATGGTCCTCTCTGGAGGAACTCTGTTAGAAGGGTGAGAATCCCTGCACACTATGGCTGCTGTGGGATTTGTCCACTGCCAATTAGATTCAGAGCGGAACACGAGATGCTCGACAGTACCGTTAGTCATACTACGTTCCACAAATAGGATGTTGGCTGAAGAGCCTTGCAAAAGAAAAAAAAGCCTTTATTTGGACTTTTGCTCACGAAGGAATGGAGGCTCATTGGAAGTTTAAGAAGAGATTCCCTAACTTCTATGACGGCGACGTTATGAGCATTCAGATTATGTTTCTGTTTCTCGTCTTTTCCTCCGTCCATGATGGTGTTTTTAATAGAGTTAACACATTCCTATGATTTTCCTTGGTCTATGTTCGAGTCGATTCCATCTCTTGGTTCAAGCTCTCGTTGTTCATCCTTTCAAATAGAGCTGAGATCTCGTTGTCTAATCTTGTAAGGACTATAATATAACTGGAGAGTTTTAAAATACAGACCCAAATGTTTATTCCGATATGTTTTTTTGAAACCTCCTCTTGAAGTGTCATATACAAAACCTTCATGGTTTGACCTAATGACCGATCAATAGGAACCAAGGTAAATAGTAAGGGGCTTATAGAGAATGAGTTCCAACCACAGTGACCATCTACTTGAGATTTAATATTCTATGAGTCTTTTTAGCCATCAAATGTAGTAAGGTCAGACGGTTGTTCCGTGAAATTAGTCTAGGTGCGTGCAAACTAATCCAGACACTCACGGATATGAAAAAAAGAATTTGTCATATACAAAACCTCTTGTAATTTAGTAACAACTCCCCCTTTCTGATTTTCATTACTTGAAAGTATTGGGCATTCTCCCCTTTAGCCCTGTAAAAATGATGTGTCTTTATTCTGTTTAATGAATAGTATCTTTGTATACAAAAGTTTGCTCTTCTCTCTGTATTCTCAAGGTCTTGATAGTGCCATTCCTCCTGAAGGTTTAAGGTCTGTATACTTGTGATTGCATATAAATATATCTTTTGGAAATTTTAGAACCTCAACCTAGTGATTACTTGGATGGTATGTATACTCTAATGTATCTTGATTGGTGTACAACTAGAAGAAGTTTTTTTTGTACAATTCATGAAAGATACTATTTTTTTCTTTTCATGTCTGTTTTTTTTTTCTCTCTCTTTCACAGAAGTGTAGCTATAATTAAGTCGAATAAGGACACAAGATACGGATTGGATTCGATTGTCACGCATGATGGCATGAAACTGCCTTGCTGGGCATTACCAAACTTGTCATCTTTCAAACAAAAATTTGGGCAAGGTGCTTATGACAAGGTACCATTATCCCCCTTTATTTGTTATGTCAATGTACTTAAATTGTTCGGATCATGGATAAACGTTTCATCAATTATGAAGTCTTCTGAGTTTTCGGTAACCATCGTAATCGAACTGCCTAGTTTTCCTGGTTGGCAAAATGGTTAATTTACTTGTGTTATTCACATAACAGCTAGACGTGATCGGTATTGATGAAGCTCAATTCTTTGACGATCTTTACGATTTCTGTCGGGAAGCTGCTGATATTGATGGCAAAACAATTATAGTTTCTGGGCTGGATGGGGATTACTTGAGGTAGTCTAATTCAATAATTTCTATGCTTTTCTTACAAAGACATTCGTTAGAACTTCAGATTTATTTAAAATTTAATACCTATCAGTAAGTTAGTTAAAGTTTTCTATTGGGGTTTCGTTTATCCAATAAAAACTGCACAGGAGGAGCTTCGGTTCGGTTCTCGACATAATTCCACTAGCTGATTCTGTAACAAAACTAACTGCTCGATGCGAGATCTGTGGGAATCGAGCTTTCTTTACCTTAAGGAAGACAGAAGAAAAAGAGACTGAGCTGATCGGTGGTGCAGATGTGTACATGCCTGTGTGTCGACGACATTACGTCAGCGGGCAAGTAGCGATCGAGGCAGCAAGAACTGTGATTGAATCACACCAGGACAAGGTTGAGTGTGGGAATCCAGCATAGATGTTTTTAGTAGTAGAGTAGAAATCACATACATACCAACGTGCCCGGTAACGAATGGCGAAAAGAGATCGTTGTCGTGACGGTGACAACGGTTAAGTTAACCGGGTAATCGGGCGATTTTGGAGAGCGAGGGAATTACTGTAAGCATAATGCTAGGATTAAGGATATTTAACTAGAGATTTGGAGGCAGAATGAAGAAGTTAAGTTGGTTGGGTTGGGTGAATGTAACCAACCAATAAAATTGAAAACTCAATTCATTATTGGGAGACAAAGACATCTTCAAGTGGCAGCTGTCGATTGTATGTCAAGAATTATCTCACCAACTGCTCTTCAATTTAATTGTAATTTCCATTGTTATATTTATATAATAACTACTTTTCATAATTTGAGAAGGGAAAAGTTGTTCATAATTGAATAATGCTCCATGGTATCTTTTTAAAATTATTAAATAAAATACACGATAAATGACACATTGATATTTTATAAATTTATTCAAGTTTAACGTTCATCTTACCATTTCTCAAAAAAGAAAAAAAATCCAATTTTATCCCATTGAAATTTTAAGATAAAAATTAACCTAATCTACTAGGTCTGTGAGTAAAAATCATAACTAAAACTTCTCTTAATCTGTCTCTGGTAATTTTTTTGTCAACCTGAACATAATTCAACGGGTTAAAGGTACCTATGTCTGATATGAGTTCGAATCTCTAACCCTACGTGGTCATTTTCCTTATTTTGTATGCATACAATTTCTTTAACCACACATTTTCTCTTGCTAACTTCTCTTTTTAACACATTCTCTCTCGACAATCCTTCTTTACACATTATGTCTCACTAACTCCTTTCTCACACGAACTTGCTCTTGCTAATTCCTATTTATACAACTCGTGCTCAATAATCTCTCTACACATGATATCTCAATAACTTCGTTCTAACTATTCTATATACACTTTGTCCCACTCACCCATGTTCAAGTTATCTCTCACTAACTTCTTTCTTAATATTTTTTTCAATGAGAAACTAACCTTTCATTAAGAAACAGGAAGAAAATACAAGAGCATACAAAAGGTCAACCCCTCAAAACAAATCCTGACTAATCAACAAACTCCAATCCAAAAGAATAAGACCAAACTGATAATTACAAAATAGTTCAGAAACCGAGGACCAAACTCGTAAAGAGGTATTAAACTTAATAACCTTCTACCTACTTTCTAAATAATCTCTCCACCCACATACTTTTTCTCACAAATGTTTCCCTAACCCACTCTACCGACACGCTTCTCTCACTAAAATTTTTCTCGACATGCAATATCTCATTACTGTCTTCCTAACTAAGAACTGTCCATACAATACACAAATACACACTCTTCCTCTTACAAATCACATAAATATTTTTTACTTAGATACATCAAAATAGGATTATGTTTCACACAAACAAAAATACTCTATAGTTACTCTTAGCAATATATGTATTGAAACAAAGGTTTGTTACATTCAACAACATTCTCAATGCATCATACATAAACATACAATATCCTACGACCCAGATGTTTGTTCTAATATTTGTAAAGATAACAAGGTAATGCAATAATATGATTAAGAAATATTATTTTAGAAATATGATATTAAAAGAACCAGAAATAATGCATCCACGAGATTGACAGTTCTGAATGGCAAAGTAAAACTTTCAGAACATCAAGAATCATTTCCAAGTTATATTTCATATCATATTAAAGAAAATGCTTGAACCTTTCATTCTCTTGAAAGAAAAAGCCATAGAACCAAACCAGCAAGAAAGAAAGCAACAAGAAAATGTTGAGCAAAATTTTTCTAAAATTGTCAGAGGAATTGAAAAACCACAAACAAAAATAAACAATTGTAATGCTGCAGATGGCAGATGAAAATATATCTCAGAATCATCACCAGATTGCCAGCCAAATAATTGTGTTAACAACAGAAAAACTATCAAAAAACCATCTGATATCTATGATCTGTCACAGCAACGTCAGAAAGAGCAAAATCTGCCTATTAATGCTAAGGAAAGAAAGTACCACCTGAGGCTGACAGTCAATTAATCAGAACATTAAAAAATGCTTTCGAAACGAAAAGAAGCATGAAAGATCCAGTAAAAACGATCATAATCGAGTGTTCAAGTAAGGTTTTATGATTTCATTGGCATTAATGTACTGTTCTGATACAATCATGAAGAACATTCTTCTCCTTCTTAAAGCTGCCATTTTTTTTTCCAGTTAAGATGCTGAAAACTCTGGGAAAGTACAATCTGAAGGGACTCGTTTACCAACTGAACTAAAAATAAAATTGAACTTACAAACAGCACAAGCAACAAGTATATGTTAATTTTGATTCATTCCTCCAAAAGGAAAAATAGCAAAAGAAATTATGTGAAGTCTGAAAGTTTTTCATTTAAACGAAAATGAGTAACTCAGAAAAAGAAAAATAAAGTTACAATTTGATTATTGACACAACCGGTCGCAATCAGTTGAACATTATGAAACCGTCCACAAATGGAACTCAAATTTCAGAACCACAAAGCAAAAAGAAGAGGGAGAAAAAAAAACCCTAAAATGCATAATCTTATTTCTTGTAACGAGCTACCTCGCCTTCGTTGGGGAAAAAACCCATAAGCCGACCGGCCGAGTTCTGATACGCGTACATGAATCCTCCCATCAGCCCAATTAGGCCGCCGGTCACCATTGACGGCCCCCTAATCCCCGGCTTAATCCCTAAAAACGCGAACACAGAGAACAGATTTCCAGATGAGCAACGGAATAGAAGGGGACAAAGAAGGAAAGGGAAGGAAGAAGGGATTGGTACCGGAGAGATATCCGACGGTGACGGAAACGCCGGTGATGGTGACGAAACGAAGGTAATCGAGAGTGTCGAAATTGCCGACGACTTTGGTGAATGGAGGGTTCCGATCTATTACTGGGTACTCCGGCTTGGTTGAAGCTGTAATGTCGGTGTTCATCTTGTCTTCTCCGGTGCTGAAAACTGATCTCCGCCGGCTCTCGATCTCTGCAAAAACTCGCTCGCCGACTCGCTGCAGACGGAACCAGTGAGCGATTGCGGACTGATGAATGGGCGATGTGGGCCTTGATGATCAAAGTCCAGTGCATTTCATGGGCCGTCCCAAAATAGTTGGACTGACCACAGGCCACGGCCCACTATATAAACGACTTTTATTTAGAGAAATTATTATTATTTTTATTTTTTGGCAAAGTATAAGGGAAATTGTTGAAAGTTTTACGAGGTAAAGTAGAAAAATTAAATATATAATTTCACCCTTAATATTTGTGTAATTTTACCATTTCGTCCATGGTGTTTCTAAAAGTTTCAAATTATCTTTTAGATAGTAAATTGGTTTTAATCGAGTAGTCACCCTTTGAATATTAAAAATTTATTTAAGTAGAGGAGCACGATATATGCTTAATATAAAATATGAGTATAACAAAAAAGAATAGAAATGTTGTAGCTCATCTTCTTGCTCGGAGAGCCCTTCTTCATCAGGAGAGTCGAGTGTAGATGGAGGATTCACCGACTGAGTTAACTTCTATCCTATTTCTTTGAATGTCTGAATTCTCTTTTTTAAGTTTGTGTTGTTTTGTTTTTTGGTGTATTAAAAAAACATATATATTTTTTAATTTTAAATTGATTATACGAGGGGGGCGAATTTAAAAGGTCAGGAAAAAAAACTAGTTAAAGTACCTATCTCCGATTTAAAGGTTGTAAGTTCGAATCCTCACACCCTGTACTAACAAAAAATTAATTATAAAATAAAATAAAAAAAACCTAAATATTTCACAACATATGTAATTTTTGATAAATTGTTTCCATTCCAAAAAAAAAAAATCAAAATGACAGCTTTCTTAACAATTGGAATACACATGCATTAATAAACACTATCTAATTCATGATTTTTTGGCAGCACCTTCACGTTAACTACCGCTCAAAATTTGACACATCCTTAATTTTTTCAAAATAGAAAAGTTGTCTCTACCACTGCCTTTCCAACTTGTAAAAAATTTCAATGGTGGTTAGAGATAGATGATCTCGAGAATACAAATACAAATAGAAAGAGAGAAGTACACGCCCGTTGATAATTTCATTGAACTTTATTCCAATAACAAAAATGAGAAACCAATTTTGGCCTAAACCCAAAGGCTAGAAGAAGTAGCTAACCATGAATCCTGATATGAGATAACAATTAGTAATTAAGAAGCTAAATTAGCATGGCCATAATCAATGACCCTATTAACTCCATGGCACTTAACAGTGTGAGTAGCACAAACATTAGGAACAGTGACTTCAGCATTGTTCACAAGAAAGTGTGCTCGTCCATGGTTATGCACTCTGATCATCCTGTTGTGCACGCCCGAGGGGACCATGGATCCCGTTGGAAAGCGTATCAGGTCGGAGAACTGCAGCGGCATTGCGATGAAATGGCTGAACACGAACGCCTCGAGGCGCCCCACGGCGATCGAGATGTTCGAGAGCTGAGCATCGCGGGGGATGAAGAAGGTGATGTCCCGCAGGGCCAGCTGCGTGGTGGCATTCAGCATTTGGAGAAGGATGGCAAAGCCGTAGAAGGATTTGGCCCTCATGTCTTCGATGGCAGCTTCGAGATCGGTGCGGTTCGGGTTCGAGCTATGGGACGACGACGTTAATGTCGCTGCTTGACAGAGGCTCGACAGCAGATAAAGGAGGACGACAATTCTTGTGATGCCCATTTGAGAGATTTTGAGGGGTGGATTGATGGAGAGATTGTTCGTGGGAAGATATGAGGAGAAGTGTTGGTGTTTTTATAAGTGTGTTGTGTGTTTTTTGTTTTTTTGGACTAATGTTTTGTTAGAGAGTAGGTTACACACGAGAAAGAGAGTGGAAAAAAACTTTCTTTTGCTTATTGCTTTAAAAACTTGTCGGTGTAATTCGGGATATGATTAGTTTTGGTCATTGTATTTTAAAAGACGTCTATTTTGATTTATTTACTTTCAAATTTTGTTCAACTTAGTCTCTTTGCTCTTAAAGTGTTTGTTTCGACCTATTTTTAAAAAGTAAGTAACTATTTTTATTCTTATTTGCAAAATTTTAACAAAGTTTATATACACAATGAGAAACCTTAAACAAATTCATGACTACATTTTCAAGACATTTAGTGAGTATATTGTGATATTTGATCCTAAAATTGATCAAGGTTGGAATCCGCGAAGCTCAGAAGGGAGAAGTTGATGTCCGAGGTACCTGCAAGACAAGGTTACTCCGACGAGAAAGTCAATCTCAGTCTGATCTAATACTCAAAGTGAGATCAGTAGATTCGTGTACCTTGTTTGGGTGGCAGACATATCTATTTATAGGGATGAAGTCTGACAAGACTTATGACAGTACTCTAACGGTCACCCAACAGTTCGTAAAATGTGGCGTGTTTTGTCGAAAAACGCTTTCATTGCCTTCGCGCCCATGAGCATTCTTCATAGGTCGGCTCGTACCTAAGATAAGCCGGCCGAAAGTAGATGGTAGGTGATGAATAACCTCCAACGGAAAAATAAAAAAGATAAAAATGAAAATGAATTGATCAAAATGGTCACGTTTTAAAGTAGACGGATTAAAATGAACCAAGATTAAGAGTACACCAAGATTAAAATAGACATTTTGAAAGTCTATAAACTAAAATAGGAATTTTTAAAAAAAATAATGCTTATTTTCAAACTTATTTACAAAATAATGCTCGTTTTAAACATATTAAATATATAATATACGATGATTAATTGAAACTTATTCCAAATATAATGATTTTGAAACTCTTCCGCCACATGGTGGTCGATGACCAAATACTGAAAATTGTGTGGTCACCTCTACAAGAGATGACCAAATGGAGGAATAATTATTTCAAAAACATTATTTTTGGAATAAGTTTCCAGCAATGATATAGATTTAATATGTTTCAAACCAGTATTATTAAAATTAGTTTAAATAAAAGTATGTCCATCCATCTTCAATGTCATAAAATTTAAACTCAATGGAGGGATGACTATTCGGGGAAAGAAATCAATAAAACCCAACCAGAGAAGTCTCATCTCTATTGGACATAAAAAGGCAAATTAAGTTGAATAATAATATTATGTAAAATAAATATGGACAAGATGGATCAGTAATTTCACCTCCTAAGATATATCAAGACTTTCGATCAATACCCTAAACTTAATCCCATATATACGAAATTTATGATGTAGAATGAAAGTGGTATGTACTCAATGTCTAAACTTGAGCCATATATTCACCGTAACTAGAGCTGAATAATTTAATCATATGACATCTTTTTACCCAAGTTAAAATATATATCCACTATATGAAAATATAATCTAGAATTGATAATATTATACCAACACGAACATAGTTAAGGAGTTACAATTAAAATCTGGTTTTCTTAACATCAAGTCCAAATTCTACCCAAGATGATAACTATTTTAGAACAAAAAGAAACTAAGGAAACTCAAATGCAAGTGCATGTCTAATGCATTCAAATAAAGTAATGTCACTCGTGACATATTGTTTTGCCACAATCATCACATTTAAATTAAATTAAGTTCCTTTAATTTGGTTTTGAGGTCACGAGGGCACCTCCCACTTTATACAATAACTTTAAAAAATTACATTCACTCACTTTGATTCATCTCTTCCCATAACTATTTCATTCAAACTCCAAAAGCTAATCTAAAGTGTTGAGCATGTGACCTATCATTCAAAAGATTATTAAAACCCCTAACCCATCATTATCATAAACAACTAATCTTTTCATTCAAGAATAATTAAAAAATCAATCATATAATAAAATTTAACTCTCTTCCCAAAAATAATAATAATAGTAAAATTTAAGAATATTCCAATAATATATTTAATAAAGTATTATATTCTATCAACACACAAAAAAGGTATAATAGATCGATCTAGTGCGGAAATTGACCACATTTATATTGGCAAATGAGAGGTTTCCAAGTACATGCCTAAGTACTTATTACTTCTTAGATTGTCGCAATTGCTATGTTATTAGGTTCAACCATTATAATGGTTCGTAATCCACAAACCATTCCTTAATTTTATTTGAGACTTGAGTAAAACTCAAATTGGCGAAGAATACGGTTCCAGGGTTCCCTTTATTGGAACTATGTTTCTATTTATTTTATTTTTTTCAAATGGATAGGGAACTCTTTTACCTTGGAAAATCATAGTGTTGTGTTGATTTATATCTTGGTTCTATTTCCAATCCAATACTTCCATTCAAGTTTAATTAGAGAGCTCTAGAGTAAATTAACCTCTCCACCATGAGTATATTAGATGTCGATTATTTCTACCCATAGAAAAGAAAAACATTGATGGTTGATTTTTGTGTAATCTTTGTGCAAATCAAATCTAAGATAAAAACATACTCTTTCTTTTTTCAGTGCAATCGGGTCGGGTATGAGATTTTGAACATCTGATTTAGAAAAAAAAAAAAGAAAAAAAATAAGTGAATGTCATTTAGTGCACTTGAGTTATGGGTCACGTGTCAGCAACAAATGATACTTCTTTTTTTTTGTTCTTTGAAACCAAAGGAAACTTCATTAAATGATACTCTTTTTATTAATTTGATGTAATATTAATACTAATATTTGCATAATCCTACCTAATGATTAAATTAATTACAACGGTTATGGGATCTTGCACTTTTAAAATATGAAATCATTATTATATGATAATAGTCCCAAAGTAATGCACTTATTAATTAGCAAAGAGTGTTCAACAAGCACTCTTACATTGAGAGGGAAAAAAAAGGTCGAATTTTTTAACGTAAGATTGAAGAAAATGAATGCTTTGTCGAGTGAAGAATCTTAACTTTCTCGAAGGCTGTGAAATCCAGCCATTTCTTATACCCCAAATCTCTGTTCAAATATGGCCATTGAGATCTAGCAGGAAAAAAACCAGTAAAATCCCACAAAATGTCTTCTCCTCCTCGGCTCATCATTCTTCAGCTCTCTTTGTTGCTGCTTTTCATCATAGCCCCACAAAGATTAGGTAACTAATTAACTTCCGTCTTCAATAACGTTATGTTTTCTTACCTCTAGTTCGAACAAAAACGTGTTTGATAACTAGTTTTTAGCATTTCTTATGTTCTTTTAACTTTGATTCTAGCTAGTGTTCTCTTGTTTTTCTTATCAAGATTCATGAGATTATAAGGTAGTTTATATATCTTATACAAGCCCTTATTAGATGCCTTAATCTCTTCGATGTGAAATCATGTTATTATTGTTTTATGGGGGAATGGTTTGATATATCAATCTCTATTTTTCTCTCTTGTTTATATCAAAAGCAAAAAATTAATTGTGTTGGGATGATTAATTTTTATTTATTTGTCTTTTAAAGGCCTTATTTTTTTTTTTTTAAAAAAACAAGACTTTACATACACATTGGTTACTAGGGACCAGGGCGAGCTCCTACTGTCTTTATGATATAATTCCTCTTTTAAGTTGAAAAAATATATTTGAGGATCTAGTACTTATCTAGGAAATGCAATAAAAATAGACCAATAACATAACAAACCATATAAAAGTTTGTTCATAGAATTAGTTTCTTACAAGAAAAACGAGAACGTTAACAAATAACGATGCTTTTTCAGAGGGGCAATTAGAGGAGTGGTGCATAGCGGATGAACAAGTACCCGATGATGAGCTACAAAGAGCACTTGATTGGGCTTGTGGGAAAGGAGGGGCAGATTGCAGAAAGATTCAAGTGAAACAGCCTTGTTTTTACCCCAACACTGTGAGGGACCATGCTTCCTATGCCTTCAACACTTACTACCAAAAGTTCAAGCACAAGGGAGCCACTTGCTACTTCAACTCAGCTGCCATGGTCACTGCCCTTGATCCTAGTAAGTACTTAATTACTCGTCACCCACCCGACATCCGATCCCCCAGCCCCACGCTCTCGTTTGATAATCAATTTATAGTGCCCATTCTGATCGACTAGAAGAAAATGGATCTTTTACGGTGGTTATATTGAGCTATAGTAGTGGTTTTTAATCGTTGCAATACTTTTCGCAATGGTTCACAAACCGCTGGCACAACCAGTGTTAGCAGAGATATAACAACCGTTTGTAAAACCGCTGGAAGTACATCTTGAAAACCACTGTCATAGGCACCTATATTGCATCGTTTATTTTTCTCTAATGCAACAATTTATACGACCGTGTTAAGGATCCCACGTTGAAAAGAAAATGGACTTAACAAAGGTTTATAATAGACATGAGTTATTCCTCTCATTATCAATTGGTTTTGAGATGTAACCCTATGAATATTAATATGGTATCAGAGCCCAAAAGCTTAAACGAGCATCCATTAAAAAAAGGGGGATCCGGCCAAGATCGATGAACCAAAGAGTCATGATTTTTTGAGATGAAACCCCATGAATATTAATAGATCGATGTTGCAAAATTAGCAACAATTTCTTGACTGCTGGAATTGTCTATCCTATTTTCGTCGTCTCCGATTAGTTAGTTTTGTCACGTGTTTTAGTGGCTCTAACAATGTTTCTTTCCATGGCAGGTCATGGCTCATGCAAGTTTGAGTATGTGCCTTGAAGGAGGGATCTTCATATCATCAACTTGGCTTCTCTAGTTATAATTTTGACTTCTCAAACATTTTTTTCCAGTTCCAATATCCATGTTCTTGTACTTTGGTATGTGTGAAAGCATGTTAAAAAAAGAAGAAGAAGAAGAGCATGTTTCCCCTTCAATTTTTAAGTAGCTTCAAAATCCTTTTTCGTAATCAATGAATTATTGGTGTCGAATTTTTATTTCTCGACAAATCGATCAAATCTAACGAGTCATGATATACGTACGATGTTTTGATATTTGATAGAGTTTGAGAAATTGATTTCAAGGATAACTGCAAATGTCAATTATAACTATATTGTAAAGTAGTCCAATAGAAAAACTAACAAAGAGATCAATCCAAATTTATTTTCATAAGAAATCTGTTAAAATAGGTAGACAAATAAAATAAAATTTTGACAAGCCAAACCATGGAGAAAATCTTTTTCCTATAAGGAAAATGTTCATTTAAATTTTTCGTTGTCCTATTTAGTTTGAGGTTTTTTTTATTTTCCCATTCCCTTTTAGTTTTTGTCATACCATCTATTATAAATAGAGATAGATGGGTCATTTGATTGGTGTGCACAAATAGAGAGTCGTGATAAATTCTCCAAGAAGAGAGAGTTCGAGAGCTAAATACTCATGTATCCGTTCGAGAGTCTGAAAGGCTTGTAGAGTAATTCGTGAGCGTTTTCTGTGTGAGGGAATCTGAGAGAAATCATTGTAAGGGGCTTGTAAACTATTGGAAGATTCTTCCTAACATTTTAATAGAACCTGCAACGGTAGCAGAGAACTGGACGTAGCCCGAGTGAACCAGTATAAATCCGGCGTTTAATTTTATTCTCCCTAATCTATATTTATCGTTCTTGTTACTTAGAAATTTTAGATTATTTTATCTAATCCTTTTAAGTGTAGGCTGCATTTTTCACAACAATTGGTATCAGAGTCCAAGGTTGAAGAACGATGACTGGAGAAGATAAATTGGTTATTTTTTATGGAACTGATTTTTGGAAGAATAAGATAGTAGATTATTTACATTCCAAGGAATTGGAATTGCCATTAGACAAGAAGCCGGATGACATTGAAGAAGCCAAATGGAAAAAGTTGGACAGGAAGGTGTTGGGTTCGATTCGCCTAACATTAACAAAAAATGTGCAGAGCATTCGTAGCTAAGGAGACTACCGCAATGGGTTGATGAATGCACTGTCTAACATATATGAGAAGCCCTCGGTAAATAACAAGGTGTATCTCGCAACTAAATTTTTTAATTTGAAGATGAATGAAGGTACATCTGTGGCTGCCCATATAAATAAATTTGATACGTTGATTAACAAACTGGTTGTTGTGGATTTAACATTTACACATGAATTAAATGTTATCTTGTTGTTGAGATCCTTACCTTACATTTGGGAGCCTATGAAGGCAGCTATTTCAAATTCTTGTGGAAAAGAGAAATTGAAATTCGCAGATGTCAGAGATGCAACTCTTGGAGAGGAGATTCGCAAAAAGGATTCTGGTATTGCCTTACTTCTGGTATAGCATTAAATGTGGACAGAGGAAGAAATAATAACAGAGACCACGAAAAACGTGGAAAGTCAAGAAACAACAGAAGCAAGTCTAGAAACAGCAGACTAGAATGTTGGAATTGTGGTGAAACAAGACATCTGAGGAGGAACTGCAAAGCCCCAAAGAAAGCTGAGGGGAAAAAAGCTGAAGAAATACATGATGCTCTAGTTCTTGCAGTTGAGGGCGCTCATAACACATGAGTGGTGGATTCAGGTGCGTCTTTTCATACAACTGGACAACGTGACATTCTTGAGAATTATGTTGCAGGAAATCATGGAAAGGTGTATCTTGCTGATGAAGAGCCTTTGGACATCATTGAGATTAGTGATGTTAATTTAAAAATGGCGAATGGTTCAGTTTGGAAGATTCGCAAGGTACGTCACGTTCAGAATATGATGAAGAACCTGATTTCCGTGGGGAAACTGGATAATGAAGGATGTGAAATATCCTTCGGTCAAGGAAACTGGAAAGTTACAAAGGGTTCCATGGTGATCATTCAAGGAAGAAAGTTAGGAACTTTGTATGTCAACGACAACGACAAAGATATGATAGTTGTTGTAGATCATTCGAGTCAGACCCAATTATGGCACAGTAGGCTGGGACATATGAGTGAAAAAGGTATGAAAATTCTTCACTCTACAGGGAAGCTAGAAGAACTTAAGGCAGTGGAGCACAAATTATGCGAATGACGCATATTTGGGAAACAGAGTCATGTCAGTTTCTCAAAGACAGGTTCAACGCCAAAGTCTACAAAATTGGAGTTGGTTCACACTGATGTGTGGGGGCCTTATGAAGTTTCTTCCATTGGAGGTTCCAGATATTATGTAACTTTGATAGACGACTCAAGCAAGAAGGTATGGACTTATTTTACTAAACATACGTCTGATGTGTTTTCTGTTTTCAAAACATGGAAGACTATGGTAAAGAATGAGACAGGCCTGAAAATCAAAAGCTTGAGATCAGATAATGGTGGTGAGTATGTTAGTAGGGAATTCAAGAAATATTGTGAAGACAGTAGAATTGTGATGGTAAAGACTCTTCCAGGGACACCACAGCATAACGGTGTGGCGGAGAGAATGAACAGGATGCTGAATGAGCGTGCTAGGAGCATGAGAATATATGAAGAATTGCCTAAGATGTTTTGGGCAGAGGCAATCAATTGTGCAACCTATCTGATCAATAGGAGCCCGACCACATCACTAAACTTCAAATTACCTGAAAAAGTCTGGACTGGCAAACAGGTAAACCTTTCCCATCTAAAGGTTTTTGGATGTGTATCTTACCTTCACATTGATGTTGCAGACAGGAATAAATTGGATGCCAAATCCAAGAAATGTTTCTTTATTGGGTATGGTGGAGCTGTGATAGGTTACAGATTTTGGGATGACCAAAACAAGAAGATTATTAGAAGCAAGAACGTGATCTTCAATGAGAAAGTCTTATACAAAGACAAAAATAAAGTTGATTCAAGAAAGACAGAGTTAGATGGAAGCACTGAGAAGACTCAGTATATAAGTCCTCCTGCGGTTGAGACTAAAACAACAGGACTGAAGATTAGAATACAATTACTCCTGAAGAAACAGTTGCAGGATTTGATGAACAGGTTGTGGAATCTAATAAACCAGTTGTGGAAACTGATCAGGTTCAGAGAACACCACCACCAATAGTAAGAAGATCTAACAAAACAATCAGACCACCACAGAGGTATTCCCTTACATTGAATTACATTTTACTAACTGACAGAGGTGAACCTGAATGTTATGAAGAGGCAGTTCAATTGGAAATAAAAGAAATGAATTCTCTAATGATTAATCAGACATGCAATTTGCTGAGTTACCAAGAGGTAAGAAAACTTTTCAGAATAAATAGGTATATAAAATCAAATAGGAGCCCGACGGCAGCAAAAGGTACAAGGCAAGGCTTGTAGTCAAAGACTTTCAACAAAAGGAAGGTATTGACTTTAATGAGATTTTCTCTCCCGTAGTTAAACTAACTACCATTAGGACTGTTCTATCGATAGTGGCAAAAAAAGATTTGTTCCTTGAACAAATGGATGTAAAAACAGTTTTTCTTCACGGTGATTTGGAGGAAGAAATTTACATGGTGTAGCCATATGGATTTACAGTACAAGGGCAAGAGAAAATGGTATGCAAACTTCAGAGAAGTCTGTATGGTCTCAAACAGACACCTAGACAATGGTATAAGAAGTTTGACAGTTTTATGTGCAGCAGTGGATTTCATAGATGTCAGGCAAATCATTGTTGTTATATAAGAACTCAGGGTAACTCATTCATCATTTTATTACTATATGTTGATGACATGTTGATAGCAGGACCAAACAAAGAAGAAATTTTGAAGATAAATGCTGAATCATGTAAAGAATTTGACATGAAAAATTTGGGAGCTGTCAAACAAATCCTAGGGATGAGGATAGAGAGAAAATATGGTATTTTGACACTGTCACAGAAAGAATATGTTAATAAAGTATTGAACAAGTTTAACATGGGAAATGAAAAACTTGTGAGTACTCTTTTAGCTAGTTATTTAAAATTATCTAAAGAGCACTCACCGACTATTGAGTAGGAAAGAGATTATATGGCTAAAGTGTCATATGCTTCAGCTATCGGAAGCTTAATGTATGTCATGGTTTGCACAAGGCCTGATATTGCACATGCAGTAGAAGTTGTCAGCAGATATATGAGTAACCCAGGGAAGCAACATTAGGAGGCTGTGAAGTGGATATTTAGATACTAGAGGAAAACGACTGATTATAATATACACTTTAAAAATCAGATTTTAAATTGCAGGGATATGTAGATGCAGATATGACAGGGGATACAGATGACATAAAGAGTACTACCAAGTATGTTTTTACGCTGGGTAATACTGTGATTAGCTGGGTCTCCAAACTCAGAAGATAGTAGCACTTTCTACTACAGAAGCTGAGTACGTTCCAGTTACTGAAGCAAGCAAAGAAATGATGTGGCTTCAATCCTTCTTGGAAGAACTTGGCTTGAGATTGAGAAAATGAACTTTGCATTGTGACAGTCAGAGCGCTATTCATTTAGCAAATAATTCAGTGTTTCATTCGAGAACAAAACACATACAGATAAGATATCATTTTATCATATCAGTTTTGGAATATGGAATGTTGTTGCTTGAAAAGGTTCCAAGTTGTCAGAATCCAGTGGATATGTTTACCAAGGTCGTCCCTGTTGATAAACTGAAGCTGTGTGCAACTTCAGTTGGACTTCTCCACGACTAGAGAGGAGTCGCTACCGTTGCAGAGGAGACATATTGCTTGCTTTGTCTCCAAGTGGGAGATTGTTGGGATTATGGAGCCAACTCAAAGAGAAAATCTCTTTCCTATAAGAAAAAGGTCCATTTAAATTTTTCCTTGTCCTATTTAGTTTGGGTTTTTTTATTTTCCCATTACCTTTTAGTTTTTGTCATACCATCTATTATAAATAGAGATAGATGGGTCATTTGATTGGTATGCACAAATAGAGAGTCGTGAGAAATTCTCCAAGAAGAGAGAGTTTGAGAGCTAAATACTTGTGTATCCATTCTAGAGTCTGAAAGGCTTGTAGAGTGATTCGTGAGTGTTTTCTGTGTAAGGGAAAACTGAGAGAAATTATTGTAATGGACTTGTAAACTCTTGGGAGATTATTCCTGACATTTTAGTAGAACCTGCAACGGCAGTAGAGAACTGGACGTAGCCTACACTGGGTGAACCAGTATAAATCCGGCGTTTAATTTTCTTCTCCCTAATCTTTATTTATCATTCTTGTTACTCAGAAGTTTTAGATTATTTTATCTAATCCTTTTAAGTGTAGGCTGCATTTTTCACAACACAATTCAATAGGGCTGGATCCAAAATCCAATCGAATATGAATAACTTTTTGTGTGCTTTGGAAAAAAAAAACGTAAGAAAAACCCACCTACCTAGCTTCTAGATAGTGCCTTCCACTGGGTATGCAACTTTCTTATGAAAAACATCAAAATCATTCAAAGTAGAAGTTAGAAGAGTGTACTTATGCACGTTTTGTCCTATATTTGGAAAATAATAGGCCAAGAGAGTCTTATTCCCTTTAGATCAATATGACCCCACGAAAAGTTAAACAAAATACTACCCTATAGTTTTCATCTCTGCATGTATCAACTCAATTTTTTGTTTTGTCCAAATGAAGTCATAATTAATAAATGCTTCTCGGTTCGTAAACCTAATTTCTAACTTAAAACGGTCAGAATAGGAGACACGACTTAATGACATATATGGTCCATGATGACTCATAGGTTGACCATGGTCAACATAACGTAAGCACGACATCACACCATCCTAACTTGACCAATTGAGTCACTTCGATCACCTACTGCACCATGTCCCTACCACCACCGCAGCATACCATAACTATAATACAACAATGTGAAAATGCCTATAAATTATCCCAAATTTTAATCATTTTGTCCTACAAATGGATACCCCCTTTTTCTTCACCAACCAAATATAATCCACTTTTCCAAATATTGCACTTTCCTACTTTTGTAATTTTCTTTCTTCTTTTTCTTCTTTCCTTTTTTTGTGATGTGTTCATACATCTCAGTCATATTAATAATAATTTTGAGATTGAACTTTTTAACTCTAGTAAAATATGTAACTCAATTTTATGCATTTTTATAAGTGGGTTCATTTATAGAAGAAAATGTATCTGTTTATAGAAAAAAAAAATTGTATTTGGCGATCTTATAAAAAGATAAATTTATAATTTTGTTTTCCATGTATAAATTTAGAATATTTAAAGTTATTGTTTTATATTTAATAAAAACATTATACTAATATACTACGTGGGCAAGAAAAGGAAAAAGAAAAAAAGATAACAAAATTTATCAGGACCGACCAAAATTAATGCCATTTGATGAATATAAAATCATTTTTATCCCTAAATTTAACTTACTCAAATCGAGTGCACTTGAACTTGAATTAGTTAAGTCATTTATCTAACATCACTCGTCGTGAGTTGATTAAAAGAAAATACTTTCTCAAATTTAATTTTAAATATGAATAATAAAATTAAAACAATCTCAAATATAAATTAGAAAATTCATCACATGCCCCAGAGTGATAAATCATGTTAAATTAATATACAAAAGTGTCCAAATTCAAATATGAAAATATTCAAATCTAACACAAAATCAAATAAGTATGATAAAAAAAAACTATTTAAAAAAAAGTTAATAAATTTGGTCTAGGCATAGTTTCAATTTAGTAAAAATCTCAATTTGATACCTATGATTTGAGTTTAGTTTCAATTTTGTCTTTCATAGTTTTAAAAGTTTCAATGTTTCCCTTTAATTTAGTTAGATTTAAATTGTCCCTACGATTACAAGATGCTACCATATTAAATATATGACATGTTTTTCTATTTACATGACAAGAACTAGTATGTTACCATAAACTCGGTTACTTTATTCTATCTACATAACAATGAGAGATTGGATCTGGTTGAAGAGGAAGAAGATGAGAGAAAGAGAATCGACGAAGTAAGGTCTAGTGGGACAGCGGGGCAATGTTTGAGGGTCGCTAGACCATAAAGGTAATTTATCAAAAAAAAAATTGACTTCTACTTTTTGGAGTTAAGTGAAGGAGAGGATTTGAACCTTGAAAATTTTGAGTGAACTTTAAGGAATCGAATTTTGCTTAGGTAAAAAAAGAAAATGATAAAATACATTTTTGTCCCTAAACGACAATTTGATCCCAATCTTTGAAAAATAGTTCTACGCGGTCACAACARTAGGTTGGATATTTAATAATTTTATATTATTTTTAATTAAGTACCATTTTTTTCTTCCATTTCTTCAAACTCTAGACAAAAATTGTACCGTCTTTATAAATTCACCAAATTATTAGTTAATTGACGAATTTAAGAACATTGGTTGTCCCCACCTTATCTGACGCCTCACTTTCTTGGGACTACAAAAACTTCTTCGTAGAAAAAAAGAGAGAAACGGAAAGAAAAAGAAGAAAAAAATCATTAATTTTAAGGTTCATTACCCAAATACTAATTAATAGCTCCTAGTAGAGTCATTGAATGCCAAACCAGACTGGGATCAGACTCCATTAATGGCAGCTTTTAATTCTCGGCGTGAGGTACGCTTTTCTGTAAACCTTGCAAGCCGCTAGAATCTCTGTATTCGCCACTTGTCTGGTAATTAATCGCACCCTCAGAATTTTCCCACCACTGGATCTTCGCAAATTTCAAATTGAATATTACTGAATTTTTACCCGTCGATGTCAACTGATTAATTGGCCCTGGCTGCCTGGCTGGCGCGGAGGGTTATAAGAAGGTCCCCCTGGTGCATGCCCCACAAGTGTTTGATTAATTGCCTGACTGAAAATTGAGTTGCTTCTTTTAAGTTCTTGCTTCTCTTTCTTGATTTGGGTGTTTGGAGGAAAGAAAATGAGCTACTCTGGCGTTGGTATTAGCCCTGGGAATGTCCCTGTGTACCATAGCTCGAATTTGAAGGTGGTTGATAAGAGGATGAGGGTGGTTGAGTTGGTGTTGAGGTTTGTGATATGTGGCCTTGGAGTTCTTGCTGCTGTTCTTGTGGGGACTGATACTGAAGTTAGAGATATCTTTGCCATTCGAAAGAGGGCCAAATTCACAGACATGAAAGCTCTTGTGTAATCTCTCTGTCCCTGCCTCTCTCTCTCTCTCTCTGTCTCTCTGTGTTTGTTGAACCTTAACAGTTACTGGGTATTTTGTTTCTGTACTTGGTCGGATTTTGGTCCGACATATTAAACTGCTACAAGCTTTTTGAGTTGAATATTGGTCCTACGCGCTAACAGTTACTGGGTCTTTTGTTTTTGTTTGGTTTTCGTTTTCCTAATTAAACTTCTGCTAAAGCAAAAGCTTAGCAATTTTAAACCGATGGGTTATCGTAAACATGTTCTTAACACTCCTTTCACTTTTACACTTGAAAAATTAGCACAAAATTTATTACAGAGGTTGAACATAGCACCTCCTCTCATGACACAGCTTCTCTGACACTATGATATAACACAGGTTTTTGGTGGTAGCAAATGGAGTAGCTGCAGCTTACTCTCTGGTCCAAGGGCTACGATGTGTGGTTAGCATGGTGAGGGGAAATGTGCTCTTCAGCAAGCCTTTAGCTTGGATCATTTTCTCTGGCGATCAGGTACATTTCAGACCTGGGAAACCCCCTCTGCAGATCCAAATTTGACAGCATTTTTTTGCTAATTTCATTGAAGAAACTGGTTGACCATTTAACACATAGATAATGTTCTTTATCTTCTTTTTATTGATTCTTTTCCCTTCTGCTGCTGCGAGTAACCTTTGATTCTGGCTATGGATGAATTGATTCATGAGTTTGGTTTATATTGTCTGAGGATTCTATTATCATGGACCAAAGGGAAAAATCACTAGTGTTATGGCCATAAAAAGTAATAAATGCACTCTCCCAATGAACTTTGGTTCTACCAACCTCTTCGTACAAGAATTTATGTGGCCTACAATAAATGTTCTTGTGCACTTCAGCATCTGCTTATCTTTCTACCTTGCCTTTTGTCCTTACATTTTTACTTCTTGTCTTTTTGTTTTGGTTAAATCAACATATTTTTTACTCCAAGTATTCAAAATCAAATGCCCTTACTTTTAATTAAAAGTATCACGAATTAGTTATTTGTGGTTTAATTGTATCATTTGTTGTTATATGGTTGTAAATAATATCTTAGTACTCAGGCATAAATACTTGTTTATTATTAAAGTACAATGTCACACATGAAGCCTATCTATCATATTCATAAACAAGTTTTCTTGGCAAAGATGTCAAATTTTAAATAAAGGACGAGGTTGAAACTTTTAAAAACATAACGACCATTCTGCTCCAGTTTGACAAGGGCAGTCATTTGTGCAGATAATGGCATATGTTACAGTGGCAGCAGTGGCAGCGGCCGCCCAATCGGCGGTGTTCGGGAAGCTGGGGCAGCCTGAGTTGCAGTGGATGAAGATATGCGATCTGTACAAGAAGTTCTGCAACCAAGTTGGGGAGGGACTGGCAAGCGCGGTCGTGGTCAGCCTGAGCATGGTGGCGCTGTCTTGCATTTCGGCTTTCAGTCTCTTCCGCCTGTACAGCGGAGGCAAGAGCAAGGGCAGCTCCAGAAGGTAGGCTTTTCGAGTTCATTGATAAGCTTCAAACTCCATAGCCTGATCTCACTGCAGCTTGAGTGAGGAGGAAAATGTAACAATTTTCTGTTATTCTGATAAAAAAAAGTGTATGTTTAAGTTTTATTCTGTGGAAAAACTATGGTGCATCTGTTCAGAAATAAATTTGTAAGTTGATGAATAAAATGTTTCCACTTTAATTTGTGAGAATTTAGTAGACTTCCAAGAATGAAATATTGACTGGTGTATGAACATCAAATTTTAAATTAAAGATGGTTGAATTATCAGATTGGGTACCTAATCATTATATTAAAATGAGACATTTACCTACAATATTTCAAATATATAACATAAAGTTTACCCCTCTAGTTTTACTTCGGCATCTATTTATCTATCTTGTATTTTTATTTTTAGTACAATAAAGGTGAGAGGATTTGAACTCTAATCTTTTGATCAGACATAGGTATTAATTTCAATGATTGGTTATTTGATTCAAAGTAGCTATTCCTATTAAAAAATCGATGGTTTAAAATTATATATAGTTTTTAAAATTTTAAAAATTCCATTTAGTCCCTCCTTTAGAAAAATGTTAACTATCCTTATCAATTTTATATTAATTAATATAAATTTAACATTTAAACTAATGTTGTGACTTTAAATATTTGTTGATATTTTTTTTAAAGTAAATATATTTTCATGTAGAATATAATAGAACAAACAAAAAATATAACTTAAAAGAAATAAAAACTTTTTTATTAATAAATTTTAACAAATATCCTTTAAAAAAATGATTGATAATTTTTAATTTATTTAAAATAAAATTTAGAATTTCAAAATAGTAGGATTAAACTGAGAATGACAAGTATTGAAGGTCCCTCCAAAAAGTCATTTGATATATTTAACCAAAAAAAATATCACAAAGTATTTAAGTCCCTTTCATTAACGATTTTGTTTTTTATTTTTAAAAATTAAATTTTTGAAACATTATTTTCACTAAAGGTCGGTCAGTAAGACGATGGAATAAGCTTCATTGTCGAGAGAGAACAAAATATAACCAAATCTTATCACTTTTACACCATTTTCAGGAATTGGTTACTATCTGAATGATCATTAATCAGAGTATAATTCAATTGATTAAGACAATCTTTGAACTAAAAAAGAAATAATATTTAATTTTTTAATCTAAAATCTAACGATTACAAAAAAATAAATTCAAGTATTAAAATAGATAAAATGAGAACTGTTTACTTTACAGTTTTCCATATTGAGACATTTTATTTTTCCTTATTTCCAAAAAATGGTGTAAAACCAAAAAGATTCTCCGCTGATTCTGGAGCCATTTGGCTGCCATTCTACTACACGACACAGCCAATCCGATCGTCGTGAAGCGACTTCTGGGTACCACCACCGCTCTGTTTCACCCCCATTTCCATGGCCTAATTCTCTCTTTTCTTCCCTTTTCGCCGTTTCTCCTCGTCCGTGGACCGTGCCCGGCACGTGCCTTTGCCGCCACACTCACCGGTTGACCGCCGACCAGCCGTTCTCCGATCGGTTGGCCGTACTGGGTTCGCATCCGCCGTCTTCTTCGCTTTCTCCGATTTCCTTAAAACTATCCTCCTATAGGCTTCTTCGCGCTTACGCTGTTCCAAGTTTCTGGTAAAATCACCGACTCTGATTGGTCGGCATGGGTTTGTTCTTATTCGTCTTCTTTTTAAGGCTTTTGGGTTCTCCGAAACCCTAAATTTTTGGGGGTTTTGCTGGTCGTATTGGAGAAATTTTGATTTTTGTACCTATCAGTTGCTGTTTCATTTATTTTTTGTCTCTTGATTTGGAATTTAGAAATTAGGAGATGTCTGAGAAGTTCTCGGCAACTTTGAGGATAGGGGATCTGAATGATTTCATAGCGCCTTCCCAGGCTTGTATAGTTTCTCTCAAAGGGCTGAAAGCTACAACCACGAAGCCGGATAAAGTTGAGGTATTTCTTCGATTTGAATACCTGTTGTTGCCAAAGTTGCTGCTCTCGGTATCGTTTTTTATGGTTATTTGCGTTGATTTTGATTTCTTCCCTAATTTAAGTAATCATTAGGAAGAAGCACGCGTAAAAATGAGTCATTCTTTTAGAAGTTTTCTATTAGTTGATTTGTCGTTTTTGTTTCTGCGTATATTATTTAGGTTTCGGCTTCTAGGAAGCAATTGAAAGCAGAACCAGTTAAAATTTCACTGAAGGATTGCTTAGCATGCAGGTATCTATAACTACGACAATCTCTATTGTGAAATTTTTCTTGAAGGATCAAATTGGGTTTGTTGGTTATGCAAAATTTTAAAATGAACTCTGAATTATTTTCGTTTTTGTATGTTTTTCCCCCTTTGTATACTGTTTCCGTTGATATAACTTGCTTGTACTCTATGAATTTTTGGATAACAAAACCAAAGGAACCTCTGAAACGTTTTGGATATAAGGTGAAGTATTTGAAAAGCTGTCAAGTTCTGATGAACCACTTATCAGATTGTTTGGAAAAACTGAATTTGGGAACTCACTGATTCCACCATATTCAGTTGGGATATTCTAATTGAATATAGTTCCATGAGTTATTGCTCTCTATTTTGCCTTGTACTTCTCATCCTTTCCCTTGTGATAAAGTGTAACAGGCCTAGGTTTTGTCTGAAACGTTTTCTTTTCCCTTGTAGTGGTTGTGTAACATCAGCAGAGACTGTCATGCTGGAGAAGCAAAGTCTGGATGAATTTATTTCAAACATTAATAAAAGAAAGGTTGTAATTGTCTCATTATCTCCCCAATCCAGAGCCTCACTTGCTGTCCATTTTGGCATCTCCCCACTGAAGGTAAAATTTGAATTTGTGATATATCATTTCCCATGATTGTAATGAGTTTTTTTGCGTATATTCTTTTTGAGAGGACAAGAGCCACAAGGCAAATCTTATAGTAGAACTTGGTGACTTTTGAAGTTGTATTTATGTCCTTGCAATGTTTGAAATGTTTTATCTATTAGGGCAACTAACTACATGAAGTGTTTGACATGTGTCAGGTTTTTAAGAAACTCACGACATTTTTTAAGTCCATTGGAGTAAAAGCTATATTTGATACAAGTTGCAGTAGAGATTTAACCTTAATTGAAGCTTGTAATGAGTTCATAGCAAGGTATAGACAAAGCCAGTCAGAAAATGAAGAAAAATGCAAATCATCCATTCCTATGATCTCATCAGCTTGCCCAGGTATAGTTTTTGGTCATTTAGCTACTGTAATTTTAATGATAATTATGCAAACCCACTCTTTCTTTTCCAAAATATCTGGTATCTTTGTGGAGGACTCCTCTTTTCTTTTCTGGTACCATTAAGTTAGTAGGGATAATTCCGTCTCTCCTCTTTAATTGGTGTTGTAAATTGGTCAGGTTGGGTTGTTCTGACTATGAGTCCTTTACGTATATAGAAAAAAAAAGGTTTGGGTTGGTTTGACAGTTAAAATTTTTAACTTCCTAAGTTTTCAGCCACTAAAAACTGTTAGTGTGCGACATCATATGTTAGGCAAACCAATCTGACTATAGATGGTTTTGCTCGGATGGCAACAAGAAAAATGGTGTATTGTAGATTTTGGTCAGCGGGAGAAACAAAATGGCATTTTGCAAGCAATGAAAATAGGAACAAGAATTTTTCAACACCCATAATTTTGTAATCTGTTAGAGGAGAAAAGGTAATCTTTGAATACCTACGATAAGAATAGTGTAAATCCCCATGTGGGATATTCATCCTGAAGAGTTACGTGCAATTCATAAACATATCATGAACGGAGTGCTATTGGGAAGAATTCGAGATCTTCCTTTCTCTCCCTAAAACAGTTGCCCGCTCTCTGATTATAAACACTCTTCTTAACCCTTAGGTAATTACAGGGTGCTACGTCATCACACCTACTAACCAATTCTCTGACGTCCTTACATTGCGCTTTCTCCCCCATCCCCCCATTACTAGATCTTCTTGAGTAAGTGTATCTGAGGGATGCCTATCATGACCATCAGTATTTTAAGATGGAGGGAGGATATATAGACTGCAGAGACAGGACGAAAAGTTCCTCAGGATCAGCTGTTTTTCTTCCTTTTCTTTGGACCCAGGGAGCTAGTTGGTTGTTGTTCTTAAGCAAATAGCACTGTTTTTCCCAAACTCAGCTATTCAAGACATCTTGATTAATTGCAAGTTAATGTTGTTCTCTTGTCATAAAACTTTGTAAAAATATGTTTGATATGGCCAGATCACTTGAAAGTGACTCCTAAATCCTAATTTTTGGTCTGTTTTTAACTTGTGAAAGCCCCCATTCACCAATTTTGGGACTTAGACTGACTGGGTTTAATTCGGTCCCATATGATTTGATAAGGTCCCCTACTCCATACATTATATGTGCACATGATTCAAAGGAATAAAGATGATACCTTTATATTTAAATTTGGTGGAAATGTTAATGAAATGCCAAGAAATATGGGTACCATTACCATGACTTGAAGTGATAAATTTTAATTTATTAATTTAAATAATTTTTATGAGTTAATGAAATTTCATGGTTTTTTTTTTGGTATTATATCAGTATTTTTTTTTATTTATTTTTATTTTTGTTGACATCGACATTTACCTCCTTGTTGCATGTCAACTATCTTTTCTTCTCAAACCCACACATCTGTTCCAATTTCAGGATGGATATGCTATGCTGAGAAGCAACATGGATCCTACATTTTGCCTTACATATCATCAGTGAAGAGTCCTCAGCAAATGATTGGATCAATAATTAAGCATCATATATGCCAAAAATTGGGTATTAGGTAGTTACATTGTTTTTTCTTTTATTATTCCTTATCTTTCTGATGTTTGGAAATTGCGACAGTATGCAAAGCTGAGTTATTTACGGTGGAGTTTAGGAGTTAGAGTTTGGCTGATAAAATAATGGTATTTATGGCACAAATAGATTTACTTAGGAACAGCAAGAAAAGCAGGACAAATTAGATTGTTCACATTGATATTGGTATTTTGCCTTGTATTTATACTTATAGTATTATTATATAGTCACCTATCAAGAAGGATATGGTATGGAATAGTTATATCTGGCTCTTCCAAGGCTTGAACAATGCTTCCAAGTTCCTTTTAGAAAGCCATAGAGACATAGTTTCTTTGTAATCACCTAAGGGTTGCACTTGAATAGTCTAGATCTCGATCAATTTCCCCCTTCCTTTTTTCCTGTTTTGAAATTTATGGTTCATGTTAATTTGACAGATCAGACGATGTGTACCATGTTACTGTGATGCCCTGTTATGACAAGAAACTGGAGGCAGCCAGGGAGGACTTTGTTTTTCAGTTGGACTCAGTCAACAAAACTCGGGAGAATGAGGCCTACAGAATCACAGAAGTAGATTCAGTATTGACATCTGGTGAAGTTCTAGAATTGATGCAGGTTCAGCTTTGTCTCATGTTCTGGTTTGTTGTTACTATTTCTTTTAGTTTTGGCTTCTCATAAACATTTTCTTTCTGTTCGTCAATACTTGCAGTTGAAAGAGGTGGACTTTAATAGTCTAGAAGAATCCCCCTTGGATAGAATGTAAGACTAAATGACTTTATTAAGCCTTCCTGCATTTGCAGTTTAGTCATTTAATTTATCTAAGGATGTCATGCTTGGCTATTTTCTTGCAGGCTGACAAATGTAAATGAAGAAGGGCAGCTTTTTGGAGTTCGTGGAAGTTCTGGTGGTTATGCAGAAACCATTTTTCGGCATGCTGCGAAGATACTCTTTGGAAACGAAAGTGAAGTCCCTTTGGAATTCAAATCCATCCGAAACTCAGATTTTCAGGAGCTCACACTAGAGGTAAGCTAATATTTTTATGAAATGTTTTTATACATACTAAACCCTCAGGCACTTAGGGGCTTGTCAGTGATTCGATATTGTTATATTCCAAGAATTGGATGAGTTTGATGAAAACCTAAACTCCAGTTTTGCCGGAGAGTTTGCTTCTTTCCCCCTTCCATTAGTAATGTAAATTTCTTGTCTAATTATTTTGAGTTAGATTATTGGTTATTGGTTAATATTTAATCTGGCAGCTATTGATCTAAAAATGTTCCACTAGTTATGCATCGTTGAACTTGCACTGTTGGATCTCTCTCATTTTCACAATTATAGTAGCAGTGCGGAATATGCTTCTTGATCTTTTTTTTTTCCTCCTTTTAGTCCCTGCTAATGAATTGTTATCTCATGCATGTGTCTGCCCCTGTATATATAATGTAGGTGGAAGGGAAGACTTTGTTGAAGTTTGCACTATGCTATGGATTCCGAAACCTGCAAAATGTTGTCCGAAAAATCAAAACAGGAAAATGCGATTACCATTTTCTGGAGATCATGGCTTGCCCTTCAGGTAACTACTAGACTATCTGCTTAAGAATCTGAACAACCATGGTTAAACTAAGTTATCTGTATGGTATATTGATCTAGCTTTTTCAAGAGATGAAATCTATATCTTGTAAACTGGAAAACATTATTGTTAAACAGGTTGTCTGAATGGAGGGGGCCAAATTAAACCAAAGCCTGGACAATCTCCCAAGGATTTGATCGAGTTATTAGAAGCTGCTTATCAGGAAAATGTAAGTGCATATGCTTCCTTCCCTTTATTGCAATTGCAAGAATCAATATCCTTCAATTGAGCTTCTTGTATATATAATTCATTCGGTCGGGCGGGCTGGCTGGCTTTCTATGTTGCAGGTTTTAATTAGAGATCCTTTTGAGAACCCAGTGGTGAAAGATATATACAAGGAGTGGCTGGAGCAGCCAGGTTCAGAGAAGGCAAAGAAGCATATGCACACTGAATACCACCCAGTGGTAAAAAGCATTACCGCCCAACTCCACAACTGGTAAAACAAAGTGCCACTCCTAACTTATAGTTTTTTCTAAAACAAAAGTTGAAAATTAGATGAATCATACCGAATGAGCCCGTAGCTTGTCGGCTTAGTGGATGAGCTGAGTTTCAGTCCATGCCACAAGTCTCAAGTTCGAGTCCCAATCGGTAGAGAGGAAGAGACAAAAAAATTAGATGAATCATAATAATCACTTTGCCCCTTATGGTTGCTGTGATCACCTCACTCTGTGCTTCACTTCTGGAAAGAAAATGCCCAATTTTGATAGTAGGATTTAACACTTTGATATATAGTTCATTTTGTTCTTCTTCCCTCTCACCATAGTAGGCCTCTGCTCTGCCAGTCTTCATCATGTACATGATCTGTATCTATGTTGTAAGATAGAAGGAAAATAATAGGTTGTTATTTTGCTTTTTCTTGTTAAATTTTTAATAATCTGTGTATTTCCTTGTGATTCTTTTTCCCTAAGAAGATATTAATGTCGTTTGGTGGAAGGTTACATACCGAGAGAACATTCTGTTTTAAATGGTTGAATGAGGTCACCACAATGTGGCTATTTTCTATTGAGTCTTGAAAGTAGGTTCGAAATTTTGCATGCTCCTTAATAACCGTTGGATACGAAGTTGAAGTTCTTTTGTAATTTCTCTCGTTTCACTGGTCCCTTTTAGTTGGTGTTAACTTTATTTTCAATTATCAAAGTAGTTGTTAAACGATTTTATCTTGGAGCATTTGGATCAAGTGGAGGGATTAAACTGAAATAATAGAAGTAATAGTAAAGGATTTAAATTACTTCTATGCAGTGTTATTAAATTCTTCTCTGAAGAAGCACAATGTCTGATTGGAGGTCTCGAATTCTCGTTTATTTTGATTCTTATACTTTTAAGTATAAAATGTTGTCTTTGTATTTTCAAATTTTACCTGTTTTAGTTCCTATAATTTTATCAAAAGACCTAATTTGGTTCCTATATTTTTAAAAAGTATTTGTTTTGGTTCATACATTCTATTTCTTATCTCACTTTTTTTTCAATCACATTTAATTAGGACACTACATTCAAAAAAAAAATTATATATATATTTAAAGAGTTCGAATTAAATTTATTAATTTTAATTTTTGAAGCTTTTTTTTAAACTAAATACGACTTACATGTCTATCAAACAAATTGAGCTGATTTATAGGACATAACATGGATAATTGGACAAAATAAAGCAATATAATTTTCCTGAGTAATTTAATATGCTATTAAAAAAATATTATGTTGCATGTATTTTTCTTTTTTATTATTTTATTTTGCTGTCTTCCTCACATGATTTTAACTATAGAAAAGTCAATAGGAGCATAACTTAGTGGGTAGATACTCATTCTCTCGAGGTCGGAAGTTAATCCCTTACTAAAATAATAATAATAAAAAAATAAAATTAATAAAAATTCAACTTTAGAAAAGCTCAGTAAGTTACCTTAAGTCATCTAAAGTCCTTGAACCTGAAAATGATCCAAAAGATTGGATCCTCACATACAAATCTTACAAATCCAACACATTTCATGCATCAAGAATCGAGTTCGTACAATGGGCCGTGCCCCAACTTGAGTCCCTCAAATTTCAAAAGAAGAAATTTCTCAGAAATATCTGAGAGTTTTCTTAACTTAAGTAAAAAAAGGTACAGTCTCATAATACAGCTACAAGCATTCAACCGTTGTAATATAAACTTTTTCAAATTTAGGAATATATAGTTTAATATGACTAATCCAAAGGAAAATAATAATAAATAATAAGGAAAAGAAAAAATGGAAGCTAGGTTTCGTCTCCATCATCCAGAGCTCTGAGCTGATTTCGGTTCATCACCGCACGGATTACGAAAATCAAACTCCTCTCTCTTTCAATCATGGTAACTTCAACTTTCT